CTCACACACACACTCCACGACACCAACTCACTCACTCGTGTCTCTCACGCACACACACTCCACGACACCAACTCACTTGTGTCTCTCATGCACACACTCCACGACTCCAACTCACTCGTGTCTCTCACGCACACACACACACATTTGCTCATTCGCTGTGATGGTAAATTTAGCCGCGTCTATAAATACCGTATCATGTGTTATTGGAGCATCGTAAATACGGATTTTGAAATGCACGCCGGAGAGCTCGATTCGCAGAGACAGACCTGTACACAATGACGTGTGCACAGTGACGTGTGCACAATGACGTGTGCACAGTGACATGTATAGTGACGCGTACACAATGATGTGACGCGTACACAATGATGTGACGCGTACATAATGTGTACACAATGACGTGTACGCAGTGACGCGTACACAATGACGTGACGCGTACACAATGACGTGACGCGTACATAATGTGTACACAATGACGTGTGCACAGTGACGTGTGCGCAGTGACGTGTGCGCAGTGACGTGTGCGCAGTGACGTGTGTGCAGTGACGCGTACACAATGACGTGACGCGTACATAATGTGTACAAAATGACGTGTGCGCAGTGACGTGTGCGCAGTGACGTGTGTGCAGTGACGTGTACACAATGACGTGACGCGTACATGTGTACACAATGACGTGCACACAATGACGTGGCCACAATGGCGTGTACACAATGACGTGTGCGCAGTGACGTGTCCAGTGACGTGTACAGTGACGCGTACACAATGACGTGACGCGTACACAATGACGTGACGCGTATATGTGTACACAATGACGTGTACACAATGACGTGTACACAACGACGTTACGCGTACATAATGTGTACACAATGACGTGACCGCAATGACGTGTACACAATGACGTGTACACAATGACGTGTACACAATGACGTGTACACAATGACGTGTACACAAAGGCAAGAGCTGCCCTATGCAAGCCCTGAGCAGACCGTTCGAGCCAAGTTCCCGTTCGCGAGACGCAGCCATGAAAACTAACACGGCACACGAGGGGGCTGGGTGGCCAGCAACCACGCACGGACGCCTTTGTCTCCGCGCCAGGTTACTCATTTGAGGCTGAGTCGCCCTAGGGGAGGGCCCAGGAGCGGTTCGGATAATCGTCGCCGGTGGTGGCCGTGAGCGGGAATCCAACTCGGGTCGCCGGATTCACAGCGTAGCGCGCTAACCGCTACCCCACCGCTCCCCACTTATATAGTTTAGCCTGCAGACAATACACACAACACACACTACTACCCACAACACAAAAGATCCCCCACTCAATACTACACAAACACACCTTACTTCACACACTACTACACACAACTACACACACACTACACACAAACACACACACTACACAAACACACACTACTACACAAACACACTACTACACACCTATATATACACACACACTACTACACAAACACACACAAACACACAACACACACCTGTATACACAACTACACAAAACACACTACACACACACTACTACTACACACACCTATATACACCTGTATACACTACTACACACAACACACACTACTACACAAACTACTACTACTACACACACCTGTATACACAAATACACTACTACACACAACACACTACTACTACACACACACCTGTATACACAAATACACTACTACACACAGCACACTACACACAACACACTACTACACACACTACTACTACTACACACACCTGTATACACAAATACACTACTACACACAACACACACTACTACACACACTACTACTACACACTACTACTACACACACACCTGTATACACAAATACACTCCTACACACAACACACAACACACACTACTACTACACACACACAACTGTATACACAAATACACTACTACACACAACACACAATACTACACACACACACTACTACTACACACACACCTGTATACATAAATACACTACTACACACAACACACTACACACAACACACTACTACACACACTACTACTACTACTCACACACCTGTATACACAAATACACTACTACACACAACACACTACACACAACACACACTACTACACACTACACACAACACACACACGACTACACACACCTGTATACACAAATACACTACTACACACAACACACTACACACACACGACTACACACACCTGTATACACAAATACACTACTACACACAACACACTACACACACTACTACTACACACAATTGTATACACAAATACACTACTACACACAACACACACTACTACTACTACACACACAACTGTATACACAAATACACTACTACACACAACACACTACTACTACACACAACACACTACTACTACTACACACACAACACACTACTACTACTACACACACAACACACTACTACTACTACACACAACACAAGTGCAGCAGGCGTGAGCTACGACTCGAGCCCCGGGTCGCAGGCTCGGAGCATCACTGCACAACAACGACACCGCCAACAATAACAACAACAACCACACCACCAACAACCACACCACCAACACCAACAATCACACCACCAACAACGACACCGCCAACAACAACAACAATAACACCAACAACAACGACACCACCAACAACAACAATCATACCACCAACAACGACACCGCCAACAACAACAACAATTACACCACCAACAACAACAACAATCACACCACCAACAACAACAATCACACCACCAACAACGACACCGCCAACAACAACAACAATCACACCACCAACAACAGCACCAACAACAATAGAAACACCAAACATACCAACGACACCACCAACAATGACACCACCACCAACGACACTAACAACAACACCACCAACAACAGCACCACCAACAACAACAGCACCACCAACAACAACACAAACAACACCACCAACAACAGCACCACCAACAACAGCACCACCAACAACAACACCACCAACAACAGCACCACCAACAACAACAACAGCACCACCAACAACAACAACAGCACCACCAACAACAACAGCACCACCAACAACAACACAAACACCACCAACAACAACAACACCAACAACAACAGCACCACCAACAACACCACCAACAACAGCACCAACAACAGCACCAACAACAGCACCACCAACAACACCACCAACAACAACACAACCAACAACAACACCACCAACAACAACAACACCACCAACAACACCAACAACAACAACACCAACAACAGCACAACCAACAACAACACCACCAACAACAACACCACCAACACCACCAACAACAACACCAACAACAACAGCACCACCAACACAACCAACAACAACAGCAGCACCACCAACAACAACAGCACCACCAACAACAAAAGCACCACCAACAACAACATCACCAACAACAACAGCCCCGCACGCGATTCCCGAGTCGCCGGTAAACGCGCGCGCGGTAGCCTCCTCACTGGCACAAAGCGCGACATGCGTGTACTGTGTATACTGTATAGTGTGTACTGTGTGTGATGTGTGTAGTGTGTACTGTGTGTGATGTGTGTACTGTGTGTGATGTGTGTAGTGTGTAATGTGTGGTGTACTGTGTGTGGTGTACTGTGTGTGATGTGTGTGGTGTACTGTGTGTGGTGTACTGTGTGTGGTGTACTGTGTGTGATGTGTGGTGTACTGTGTGTGGTGTACTGTGTGTGTACTGTGTGGTGTAGTGTGTGTACTGTATGTGTAGTGTGTGTGTACTGTACTGTGTGTACTGTGTGTAGTGTGTACTGTGTGGTGTACTGTGTGTGGTGTACTGTGTGTGGTGTACTGTGTGTGATGTACTGTGTGATGTGTAGTGTGGTGTACTGTGTGTAGTGTGTGTGTGTAGTGTGATGTGTACTGTGTGTGTACTGTGTGTAGTGTGTACTGTGTGGTATACTGTGCGTGTACTGTGTGGTGTACTATGTGTGATGTGTGTACTGTGTGTGTGTAGTATGTGTACTATGTGGTGTACTGTGTGTACTGTGTGATGTACTGTGTGTGTAGTATGTGTACTGTGTGGTGTACTGTGTGTGTACTGTGTGGTGTACTGTGTGTGTACTGTGTGGTGTGCTGTGTGTGATGTGTGTACTGTGTGGTGTGCTGCACGGTGTGGTGTACTGTATGGTGTACTGTGTGGTGTGTGTACTGTGTGGTGTGTGTACTGCGTGGTGTACTGTATGGTGTGGTGTGCTGTGCAGTGTGCTGCACTGTGTGGTGTGTGTACTGTGTGGTGGTGTGTACTGTGTGGTGTGTGTACTGTGTGGTGGTGTGTACTGTGTGGTGTGTGTACTGTGTGGTGTGTGTACTGTGTGGTGTGTGTATTGTGTGGTGTGTGTACTGCGTGGTGTACTGTGCAGTGTGCTGCACTGTGTGATGTGTGGTGTAGTGTGGTGTACTGTGTGGTGGTGTGTACTGTGTATAGTGTGTACTGAGTGTGTACTGTGTATAGTGTGCACTGAGTGTGTACCGTGTATAGTGTGTACTGTGTATAGTGTGTACTGTGTATGGTGTGTACTGAGTGTGTACTGTGTATAGTGTGTACTGTGTATAGTGTGTACTGAGTGTGTACTGTGTATAGTGTGTACTGTGTATAGTGTGTACTGTGTATAGTGTGTACTGTGTATAGTGCGCACTGAGTGTGTACCGTGTATAGTGTGTACTGTGTATAGTGTGTACTGTGTATAGTGTGCACTGAGTGTGTACCGTGTATAGTGTGTACTGTGTATAGTGTGTACTGTGTATAGTGTGTACTGAGTGTGTACCGTGTATAGTGTGTACTGTGTATAGTGTACTGAGTGTGTACTGTGTATAGTGTGTAGGGGTCCCCGTGTAGGGGTCCCGTGTAGGGGTCCCCGTGTGTAGGGGTCCCTGTGTGTAGGGGTCCCGTGTAGGGGTCCCCGTGTGTAGGGGTCCCGTGTGTAGGGGTCCCGTGTAGGGGTCCCCGTGTGTAGGGGTCCCGTGTGTAGGGGTCGCGGTGGGGGTTCACTCACCGGGAGTGAACCCGAAGGCGGCGAGGCTGACGACGGCGGCGAGGATGGCGACGGGGCTCGAGAGGTCCCCTGCCCCCCTACTCCTCCTCGTCCTTCTCGCGGAGACCCCCTTGGGGGTCCCCCCTACGCCGGCCTCCATGTCCCCGGGCCCCCGGCGCGCTCAGCAGGAGGCGCGCAGCCCGAACGCGCGGCGCGGTGGCATCGGCGGCGCGACTCCCGGACGGCCTCTCCACCCCGCCGCTGCCAACTCGCTGCCGCTGCCGCCTCCAGCCAGACACGCACTCGCTAAGCCGCTCACTCGCCGAGAACAACAAGAACCAACGACGACGACGACTACGAGCACCACCGCAGCCGACCGCCACCACTCTCGCCACTAACTCAGTCCGCGCGGCTCACTCGCGCTCTCCTCCACGCGGCGCGGCGGCGACTCGCTGGCTACTGCCCCCTCCCCCACTGCCCCCTCCCCCACTAACCCCTCCCCCACTGCCCCCTCCCCCACTGCCCCCTCCCCTACTGCCCCCTCCCCCACTAACCCCTCCCCCACTGCCCCCTCCCCCACTGCCCCCTCCCCCACTGCCCCCTGCCCCCTCCCCCACTGCCCCCTCCCTGCGCTCTCTGCTCGCTCCACTCTCCCTCCCCCTCATCACTCTCCCTCCCTCCCTCTCTCCCTACCTCCCGTGCCTCGCACCCTCCCCCCTCTCTCTCTCCTGCCCCCTCCCCCCTGCCCTGCCCTCGCCACCTCCCCCCTGCCCTGCCTTCTCCTCCTCCCCTGCCCCCCTCCCTCCCTTGCCCCCCTCCCTCCCTTGCCCCCCTCCCTCCTGCCCCCCTCCCTCCCCTGGCCCCCTCCCTCCCCTGCCCCCCCTCCCTCCCTTGCCCCCCTCCCTCCCCTGCCCCCCCCTCCTGCCCCCCTCCCTCCCCTGCCCCCCCTCCTGCCCCCCTGCCCCCTCCCTCCCCTGCCCCCCCTCCTGCCCCCCTCCCTCCCCTGCCCCCCCTCCTGCCCCCCTCCCTCCCCTGCTCCCCTCCTGCCCCCTCCCTCCCCTGCCCCCCCTCCTGCCCCCCCTCCTGCCCCCTCCCTCCCCTGCCCCCCCCTCCAGCCTCCCTCCCTCCCCTGCCCCCCTCCCCTGCCCCCTCCCTCCCCTGCCCCCCCTCCTGCCCCCCCTCCTGCCCCCCTCCCTCCCCTGCCCCCCTCCCTCCCCTGCCCCCCACTCCCCTGCCCCCCTCCCTGCCCCCCCTCCCCTGCCCTCCCTCCCCCCGCTTCGCCGTGAATCTGCGCCCCGTCACTCGGGCGCGCTGCTTCAGGAAGACCCCGAGGAGCGGGGTGGGAGGGGGGGGGCTGCTGAAGGAGATGGGGGGCGGGGCTTAGGGGGGCGAAGAGGGAAGGGGGAGGAGGGGGGTGGGGGGGCAGAAGGGGATGAGGAGGGGAGGAGGAGGAGGATGGAAGAGGGGATGAAGGGAGGAGGGTGAGCGGAATGGAGCAGGGGATGAGGAGGGAACGAGGGGAGGCGGTGGTGAGGGGGGGGTGAGGAGTAGGGGGAGGGGCTGGAGGCTGGGGAGGGGGTTGGGTGGAGCCGTGGGGAGCTGCAGTGATGAGTTGCGGAGTCGGGAGGGGGGGGAGCAGTCTTGTGGAGGGAGCGGGTAATGGTGGGAGATGGAGATGGAGGTGGAGGAGGAGGTGGAGGAGGTGGTGGTGGAGCGGGGGGTGCAGGGCCCGGATTGCCCGAAGCGTGGCGGTGAAGTCTGAACCCTCACGCGTGGGGCTGCAGTCGCCTCAACCTGCGACTCGTGATCGAACCTGGCCCGCCGTGGTTCGTGGCTCGAGTCTGGTGGCCTCGTCCTGGGTCTGGAGTCTCCAGGCCGGGGGTCGGGGCACGGTTCTTGACTTTGCACTTCCCGGCGGCATCGACGTTGGAGTCCGGATTGTGAATCCGGAGTCTCGGACAACAACAATCAGGGACTGGAGCCGCGATCCTGGGTTGGATGTTTGACTCGGGATGAACTCGAGAGGCGTGAGAATCAACTCCGGGGAGTAGTCGCTCGTGACTCTTGAGGGCGAGCGTCACTTGAGACGCGGCACGAAACGTTGACGCCAAATCTGAGGTACAGTAAATCCTCTCAAAGCCAGACCACAGTGATTTGGGGAGGGGGGGATCCCGCGTTGGATTCCCGACTCATTTGCTTTTCTGCGTAGTGTGTGTATGTGTGTGTATGTGTGTATGTATGTGTATGTGTGTGCGACAGGGATGTCCTCTGGCTCCCACATTATTTAACATCTATTTTGACCACGTAGTTCGTGAAGCCTTCAATAGCTGTACCGGGGGAATCTCCATATGGTACAGATATAATGGGAGGCTGATCGATGCCCGGGTGCGGTCAAGGGATGGCTCCCTATTGCTCAACCACGTTATGTATGCCGATGATTTGGTAATAGCTGCTCATTCAGAGGAGGAGTTGGAGACGCTGCTGCTGAGACTGGAGCGTGCCACTAAGAGATGGGGCCTTACCATCAGCCCCACCAAAACTAAGCACCTGCTTTGGTATTTTGTACCATCGGACACTCCACCCCCACAACTCCCAATCGGTGATGGGGCAGTTGTGGAGAGAGTGGAGAGTTTCCCATACCTGGGCAGTGTGCTTATGACCGGCTCCAGTTTAACAGCAGAGGTCTCACTCCGAATCAGTCGAGCGGCAATATCTTTTCATCGGTTGCGTAACGCTGTGTGGAAGCTACCTGGTCTGTCGCTCCGCACTAAGCTTCAGGTCTTCTCGCCCACGGTCATTCCCTCCCTTCTCTACGCTTGCGAAACGTGGACCCCCCCCTAATGGAACATCTTCGTCGGTTAGAAACATTTAGGCTGGCCTGCCTACGATCCATCCTGGGTTTAACCAGGCTGGATTGTGTGAGGAGCTCACAAATCCTTGGAGTGATGTGGTACAGGAGGACGTGGAGCTGAGTGGACTTGCCGATGACTGGTACCAGCGGTGTCAAGATCGGCCTCTGTGGAGGAGGCTCGTGAAGGACGCTGCTACTGGGCAGTTGGAGGCAGTCGCCCTCCAACAACAACGGAGGGCGGAGGAGCGACGCTCACAACAACGAGCGGAGCGCCGGGTGGCTAAAGCACAGCAGATTGGCACAGTAGGGGGCACAGGTGGTGCACCAGCCAGTCATCTCAGTCAGTCGACCCGTGGCACCTGGGTCTGCCCCGTGACCTCCTGCCCGCGGGCGTTCGACACTTCACGTGGCCTCAAGGTGCACATGGCCTGGCACAAGCTTCGTGGTGACGTCACCGCCACTTAGTGGCGAATGGCGGTTGTTGTTGGAGCGGTAGTGTAGCGGCTAGCGCGCTGCGCTATGAACCGGCCACACGGGTTCGATTCCCGCTCACGGCCAACACCAGTGACGATTATCTTAACCGGTCCCGGGCCTCCCCTAGGTCGACTCAGCCTCAAATGAGTACCTGGTGCAATGTGTAAACATCGCCACTGGGGAGACAACGGCGGTCGGGCGTGGTGCTGGCCACCCACCCCCTCGTGTACCGTTCCGGCCTTCATAGGTGCTCGCTAACAGCACTTGCCCCTACAGTCTGTTAAGGCTATATGGGGGATCTTTGTCTATCTTTGTCTATCTTTGTGTGTGTGTATGTGTGTGTCCCTTGTTCTTCATGGACTTCCACCGGGGTGTGGGGAGCGGTCGTGCAGTGGTTAGCGCTACACTGCGCGTCTTCCCCCTCCTCTTCCTCGAGTGGCGCGTGTTCCCCCTCCTCTCACTCGAGAGGCGCGTGTTCCTTCTCTCACTCGAGTGGCGCGTGTTCCTCCTCTCACTGGAGAGGCGCGTGTTCCTTCTCTCACTCGAGTGGCACGTGTTCCTCCTCTCACTGGAGAGGCGCGTGTTCCTCCTCTCACTGGAGAGGCACGTGTTCCTTCTCTCACTCGAGAGGCACGTGTTCCTTCTCTCACTCGAGAGGCACGTGTTCCTCCTCTCACTGGAGAGGCGCGTGTTCCTCCTCTCACTGGAGAGGCACGTCTTCCTTCTCTCACTCGAGAGGCACGTGTTCCACCCGCAGCGCTTTGCCCCGGTGTAAAGGAAAGGACGCCCTCCGCGTGTCATGAAAAATTGATGCCCACCTCGTAATATACACGACGGGGGTGCCACGTGGTTGCAGTGGGCATCAAAACCGCTGAATATAAACTAAACAAGTTTTTATTTTACCAGCTAAAGCCCACTGAGTTATACGGCTCTTTGTCAGAAGCGACCTGGCTATCACAAATGATGGCTCAACGAAGTGGCTCATCGTCGTGTGGAAATGTACAGCATCCAGATACACTAAACGCATGGTGATGTTCATTCTGAATGTGGAGGGAAAAACCGCAGGACCCGGAGAAGATTCCAGGGGTGACCTGCCGATGTTCTCAGTCCCTGTTGCGACCACTTTGTATGATGTTGATGTATGTTGAACTTCTTTCGCACCGTACGTAGCCAACCGTGCTAATCGGAGATGCCGCCTTCTCCCAACTTTGCCCTCTTGGCATCCGCGACACTATTTATCCGTGTGTGTGTCTTTGCAGAAAACGATCATTTAGAACTGCTTTTGGCAACACTGCTCACGAGCGATGGCTCATCGGCTGCCTCATCTACTCGCCCATTCATCACGCAGTCGGCCCCGCGGATATGCGATGAGATAGGGGAGGGGGGGCAGGGTGGGGGGTGGGAGCCGGCAGCAGGCGCGTGGCCGAGTAGCAGCCGGCATCTGCCTCTCGGAGGGAGGGGGCCCTGTGCGTGGAGCAGGGAGGGCCACCAAGGATGAGGGCGAGTGCAGAAGTGCCAATTTAGTAAAACTAAAAACTAAACTTTTTATTTTATCCCAATGAGCTATATAGCTCTTTTTCAGAAGCCACCTGCCCACAAATGATAGGCCAACGAAGTTGCTTATCGTGTGGAAATTATAGCAGCCAAATACTATAAGCGCATGATGTTGATTTCTAAGTGTGAAAGTAAACACCGGAGGACCCGGAGAAAAATCCACGCGTCCACGGAGAGAGAGAGAGACACGCAAACTCCAAATAAACAGCAGGCGTCAGGGTCGGGATCGAACGCACGACCTCCTGCATACCGTGCAAGGTAGTTAACATCTTATGAAAGAGGAGCACACGACGGACCAGTGGATTAGAAAGAATAATAACGGCGTCGACTTGTAAAGGCGCCACCGTTGCGCAGTGTTCGCTCGCTCTCGTAGGCAGAGGACGACTCGAGGGGCACGAGGGGGACTCACAGGCAAGTGGGAAGGCAGCAGTCACGCGGTAAGCCAGCGCCATCAATTGCCCAAGCTTTGCGGTCCTCTATATGTTAAGGTGTTATCGGCCAATTAATGAGAGTTTACATGCGGCAGGAAACCGAAGCACCCAGAGAATTAACCCACGCGTGCGAGGGGGAAACGCTCTATCCCATACAG